GCGTCAGAGGGGGGAATGGGAGGTGGGGATTGCGGCTTGGAGCAAAGTCCTCGGTGCGTGTATGGTATGCGTGTGTGTGTCAGTGTAGGGGCGGATTTGTTGTGCGCATAGCGTGTGTCTGTGTGCACGCGCGTATGCGTGGCGGAACTTGCGACCCATGCGCGCGTGCACACACACACACACACACACACACACACACACACACACACACACACACACACACACACACACAATGCGTGTGGTCGCGCGTGCGCGCATGCCATGCTGAGGGTCAGGAATGTGAAGCAGTGGCACTTCGTTTGTGCCCCCCCCCCCCCGCCCATGAGCACTCAGCCCCACCATCACCCTCTCCCAAAACAAAGGTGACCCCCGACGACCCGAAGCTCTGGTGCGCCCTCGGTGACGTCACCGGCGACACCAGCCACTACGAGGCCGCCTGGGCGCGCTCCGGCCGCCGCAGCGCGCGCGCGCAGCGCTCCCTTGCGCGCGCGGCGCTCAAGCGCAAGGACTGGGGCGCCGCGGCCGGCCACTTTGAGCTGGCGCTGGCACTCAGCCCGCTGTACCCTGATGCCTGGTTCAGCCTCGGCTACTGTTACCTGCGGACAGACCGCGAGGCCAAGGCGCGGCAGGTGCGGCGGGCCCCCCTCCATCTCCCTCGCCCCCTGCAACCGTCGCCGCCGCGGCCGCGCGCTTGCCGCTCGCGTGGGGGCCGGGCGCACTCCTGCCGCCTGCCGCCGGGCGGCGAAAACGTGGCGCCGCCGCTCGAAGCGACAGGGCCCCGCCCGCACACCTGCAATCCCTCCTTGCGGCCCCCGCTGGTGTCTGCACCTTCCCTGTCTTCCCGACTGGCAACCCCTGGGTTTCAACCCCTCTCACTTCCATTCCATCCCGGCCAGGCCTTCACCAAGCTGACTCAGCTGGAGCCAGACCATGGAGAGGGCTGGGCCAACCTCGCCGCCCTGTGGCTGCAGGCCGGCCAGTGGCAGCAGGCGCTGTCGGCGTCTGAGCAGGCGGTCAAGCACAAGCGCGAGAGCTGGCAGGCCTGGGAGAACTACGCGGCGGCGGCGCTGCGCGCCGGCGCGCTGACGGCCGCCGCGCGCGGCGTGCAGCAGGTGCTGCAGCTGTCGGAGGGGCGCCGGCTGCCGGCGCCGCTGCTGGCGGGGCTGGTGGACGGGATTGAGGGCGCGCGGCGGGCGCTCGAGGTGCGGAAGGCGGCGGCGGCAGCGGCAGCGGTGGCGGCAGGGGAGGAGCGGGGGGAAGGGGAGCGGGAGGCGGCGGACGGGCGGCCGCAGCAGAACGGGCAGCAGCAGGCGGAGGAGCAGCAGCAGGAGCAGCAAGAGCAGCAGAAGCAGCAGCAGCAGCAGCAGCAGCAGGAGCAGCAGCAACAAGACGAAGAGGGAGAGGAAATGGAGGCGCCAGGGGAGCTGCTGGGTCTCCTGCGCATGGCCCAGGCGCTCCCAGGGGACACCCCCCGCCGCGCCGGCGGGCCGCCCGCCGCCGCCGCCGCCACGTCAGCAGAGTCCGACGAGCGCCAGCTGGCGCAGGCCGCCGCCGCGGCCGGCGCGGCGCTCAAGGCGGCCGCCAACGCGCCGGCGTGCGGGCCGGAGGTGTGGGGGCTGCTGGGGCGGTGGTACGCGCTGCAGGGGGAGGCCACGTCAGCAAAGGAGGCCCTGCTTAAGCAGGTGCGAGCTCTGCAGGGCTCCCCCTTTGCGCGGGAGCCGGCCGCCTTTGCCGAGATGGCTGCCGCGTCGGCGCAGATGGCGGACGCCTATTTGGCGCTCGTCGCCGTGGGCCAGGGCGGCGCGCGCGACCTCAGTGCTGCGCGGATGCACTTGAGGGGGGTGCTGCGGCAGGCGGAGGAGGCGTTTGGGGGCGGCGAGGCTCACGAGAAGCTGCAGGGGAAGCTGCGGGAGGTGGAGGCGGCGGAGGCGGAGTTCAAGGCCAAGGCGGCGGCTGCCGCGGGGTCTTCGTAAGGGTTGGTGCGCGACGCACCCATCTGGCTGGCCCAATCGGCACTTTTGTGGTAAAGTTACAACCACACTGAAAGTACAAACCCCTTTGGGCCCCTTTGGGGGCTGCTTGAATGAAGAACGTGGTTGTCATTACTCAACACAATAAGTAGTGCGTAAACGGACAGCATGACCGCAGCACGAACAAATGAACAGCACACGCAGCAGTGGCGGCAGCAGCAACAGCACCTGCTCAAAGCGGCGGCGGCAGCTTTTGAATGCGAGAATGGTAGCAGCGGGATGCGCAAGGCCCCAATCCCCTGCAGCTGAATGCTTTCACCAACGACAGAGGCAAGACGCAACAACACTATCTTGCACCACCTTGACTATCAGATAACATAATGCACAACATTTCAATTCCAATGCCATCAATGCTCATGACGCCAATGCTATCACTGCCCGCAGCTGCCTACAAGTCCTCCATAAGCAGCTCCCGCAGCGGGTTGTGCTCCGGCAGC